CTCTGAATTTGATTAGAGCGTACCGCATTGCCAGGAGCTCCTTGTCGTGGACTGGGTAATTCTTCTCGGCTGGCTTCAGTTGGCGCGACTGATAGCTGATAACGCGTTCGTGTTCGTCATCATCGAACTGCATCAGCGCACAGCCGATGGCAAAATCGCTCGCGTCGCAGACGACGTGGAATGGCTTTGAGTCATCAGCAAGCTTCAGTATCGGCGCAGACGCCAAGCTCTTCTTCACCGAGTCGAATGCAGCTTGGTGGTCCGATTTCCACTCCCAGATCACGTCCCCATTCAGCAGCGAGGACAGCAGCTGGATCAACCCAGCGTAATTCTTCGTGTACTTGTGCAAGTAATTGGTCATGCCAAGCCGCTGACGCAACTCAGTGGGACTTGTCGGCGTTGGCCAATCACAGATAGACGATACCCTCTCGGGATCCGCGCGCACACCGTTCTTGCTCACGTAGCATCCCAACACCGGAATCTCCGGTGCGCAGAAGACACATTTCGTCAGGTTTGCGTAGAGCTTGCTCTCTCGCATCACCTGGAAGACTTGTCTCAGGTGTTTCAGATGTACGTCCACGGCACTGAGGTTGCCCTCAGCGCGGCTGTGCACGAAGATGTCGTCGAAGTAACTCGGCGCGAAGTCTCGAAGCGGGCGAAGCACATGGGAGACCATGCGATTGAAGGTGGCAGGCGCGTTCTTGAGGCCCTGTGGCATCACGAGCCACTCCCAGAGCATCCCGCTCGGTGTACTTACGGCGGTGAGAGGCACATCAGATGTTCTCATCAGGATCTGATAGAATCCATCGGTCAGGTCGATGGCGCTGTAGATGACGCTGCCAGCCATGGAGTCCAGTACCATGTCCTTCCGAGGTATCGGAGTCTGTGCGGGGATGGTGGCATCATTCAACTTGTTGAATGCGTGAACGATACGCCATCCCCCTGTAGCTTTCTTCACACAGAACGTTGGACTGGAATGGGGAGAGGTACTCTCACGCACGTGACCCGCCTTTCGGCGGCCCTCGAAGAAGTCATCGATCGCTTTCACTCGATCACGCGGAAGTGGCCATTGTCTGGTAACGCAGTATTTCGTACCTGGCGCGAGGTCGATCTCATGCTGAACCCCACGATCCGCCGGTAGCTCGGCGGGGATCTCATCCGGGAAGACGTCGGCGTACTCGCAGGCGGTGTCGTATACGGGATTCGCTGACTCCCGCAAGGCCTCCCAAGACTGCGTTTGGAAACATTCCTCTCGAGCAGACTTAGGTTCAGCACCTAGCGGACGTGAACGTTCACTGTCCGTTGCGACCGCATTTGCTGCCTCATCCACCGAGACTGCCTCGGTGACCAAGCATACTTGCTCGACGTCTCCAGCCTTGAGGTCCCGAAGAAAGTTCTTCCAGGACAAGCCTGGAAGGCGTGTGATCGCCGCCGCTTCGCGCGGCGGGCTCGCGATTGCGATGCTGCGCGACCGATTCGGGCCTCCTTCCACGTACTCCAGCGCGCTGACCGATTCCATCGGCGGGCTATCGCTGGTCGTGTAGTCTCGACGAGGTTTCAGGTGTCGTCTCTTCGACTTCTTCTTCGACTTCCTCGAGCTTACGCTCGAGTCTGACGCACTGCTACTCGACGATGCATCACCCTCCTCTAGGCGCGGGAGACCGTACTCGACCGGGCCGGGAACACGCGGGAGCCCCTGCTCAACCGCGGCATCGCTCGGCGGGAACCTCTGCTCTACCGCCGTCTCGTTGTGTGGGAACCTCTGCTCTACCGCCGTCTCGTTGTGTGGGAGCCCCTGCTCGACCACTGTCTCGTATTGTAGCCCCTGCTCGACCATCATCTCGTGTCGTGGGAGCCCCTGCTCGACCACCGTCTTGTACTGTGGGAGCCGCTGCTCAACCACCTCATCATCTACCTCGCGAAACCGCGAGGGCTCTTCGTCCAACAACGTAGCACAAGCCATGCAGAGAGGGCCATCGCTCGCTCTGTGCACTGCTTGTGTCGTTGCTGTTTTGTCGACGACTGTGACGTGGGGCCAGTCTCTTGGCGCCATGTGAAGACCTCGCTCACGTCGAATCCACGTCGACGCTTGACTGATTGGGCCAGCCAGTCAATCTCTGGCTGATATCGCGCAAGCCAAGGGACGCTTAGGATGCAGTCAAACGCGTAGTTCATCTCGATCACCAAGAAGTCGTCCTTGCTACGGCAGCCGTCGAGCGTGTACGACAAAGACACGTCACGCCGCGCAACGCGGCAAACCTTACCATCTGCGAGTTTGACTTGGATCTCGCCCGGACCATTCCGGACGCGGACGTTCTTGGGTAGTACCGACAAACACGACGCGCGAAAGAAGTTGTTGGTCGCTCCTGAGTCAAGGAGCGCGCGCAGTGGTCGCCGGGCACCGGTGACGTGGAGGCTGACAATGATCAGTCTCGAGTCGCCCGGCGTAGTGGTGGCATTGGTGTGTGCTTGGAGCACGGGAGGGCTCGAAGGTTGGGCAGCCACCGGAGGGCCCGGTCCTTCGTTAAAGCCAGTAGGGCGCCCCGCACCTACTGGTCCTGGTCGTTTTTTGAATGAGCGACCGAGGAGTGTTCCGCGTCGACGTGAGAGACGACGGGAGCTGGCGCGCGGCACTCCTCCACGCGATCACCCTTCTTCCCACAGCGGAAGCAAATGAGGGAGCGATTGTTTCGCCCAGCGCTGCCGCGGTAGGACCCGCGACGTCGATTGCTCGACGCGTTGATGGCGTCGATATCCATGGGCTCGGGGGTAGACTCCCGGGCTTCCGTAGGTATGGCTGCGGCGTACGATGCAGCGACCATGTAATCCTCGCGAATCGCGAGTGCAAACGCCTCCTCGAGAGAGGAGGGCTCAGCTCTGGTGAGGCAGTAGCGGGTCATACCCTCGCGCATGCCGAACACAAATACGTGGACTTGCGAGGCCATGTCGATTGGCTTGGTCACGATGCATGACGCCAGATGTCGCGTCTTCTGGACGTTATCACGCATGGACATCTGCCCTTGCCGCAGAGCGAAGAACTCTGCGCGAACGCGAGACTCATCTTGCGGGGGCTCGAACGCGAGGCGCAAGTCGCTCTGGAGAGTTTTCAGAGTCGGGAAAGCCTCGGGGTCGACAACCAGCTTCCCGAGGGCCCATTCTTTGGCCTTCTGTTAACCGGGAGAGGAGGAAGTTCATCTTGGCCGATGACACCTCGATGCGTCGCGAGGCGATAGCGATGTCGATCTGGCGGAACCACCGGTTTAGCGGAAGCCGGTTTTCACCGGTGCCAGAATACGTAGACGTCTCCATCTTGACGACGTCATTCTGGGATGGACGCGAGGGAGTTGACACCCGCCGATTCGCATCGGCGAGCTCGCGTTCCATGAACTCTTGTGCTGCAAGACGTTGCTGGTCGGGCGTCGCTGAGCTCAGCAGCGATGCGACGACAGCGTCTCCGGACACCGCCACGAGGCGGTGAAGCGCTTCCACTCCACGCGAGTGAGATGGGGGAATGCAGCATGCTCCAGGGTCGCCCCGGAGATCTGGACTTGGCTCATCGTAGACTTGGTCGTTGGAAGGACTACAAAGTGCTACCAGGTGTAACGGGGTAAGAGATACCGTTACTAGCTTACACTATAGTGCGGAGGAAGCTCGCAATAATAAAACCAAGTCTTAGGTTTGTGTCAAATTCAACTCTGATTTATTTAGGACCAGGGCGGCTACCCCTGGCCTCGTGTGAACCACTCAAACACATGTCTTTATCTGATTGGTCAATAAGTGAGTCTGGCTCCTCACTATCAACCAATCAGATGATGACACCTTGGCACACGCTACCCGTGTACACTTTACCTACTTATGTAATAACTAAAGAAATATCTAGCTACTTATGTAATTGGAGTTGGGCCCATTACAATGAGAGCCTCCAGCGAGCCATGATTCAGTCATTTGTACCTTGTTTACTGGCGTTACTGGTCCGATACCAATTCTGTTCCGTGACTTCAATTGATCGCGTTCTAAGACAGGCTTTAGAGATTCAACGAGCCGCTCGAATGCTATAACATTCATTCTATAATAACGATCGAATTGTCCTTCTTGCACTAGTCGATCTCGATGCGGCTCCCACTCCAAACGTTTGCGTGAAACAACGTTCGATCTACGTCGACGACGTAATTCGCTCACAGCAACTACAACGGCGACATACCACAATGCGAGATACTTTCATTGTCTTTCTCTTGAATGGTGCCCGTGACCCCTGATCCCAAAGTGAGTGATGATCCCAATTTGGGATCATCGATTGTAACTAAAAATAAACATATGTATTTTTTTTAGCCAATCAGGTATCGAGTTTCTAGATCATGATCCGATGATGATCCCGTTAGGGCCTAACTTAGGAACCGGTCTTAGACGAGACGAGAGAAAAACTACAAAAGTGAATATTTAAACTGTAAGTTGAGTTTACGCACTTATCAGTGGTGCACTGCCACTTATAAAACAGGAGTCATCACCAACTTTTTATTTTCTTCGTGTAACTGTCAACTTGATATTCTAGCACTATAAAAGGGAGCTAGGCACCAATCGAGCGGAGCAAAAAACTAAGGACATGCATCCAGCATTACGACGAGAACGGTTCTGAAGGAGCTCATTCGACTTATAATGCTTATCTTATTGAAGTGGCTCTCTACAGGTACGTACTGCTTGTAGTCCTTAAAAAACGAAAACGATTAGGCCAGTCAAAATAGCAAACCATGAAGCAATAACAAAGATACTAAAAGGACCGTAGCCCATCCCCCATCATCGTGACGGTATTGAAAAGTAGTCCGAAGATTGACGCGGTTTCCTCGCGACGGAATCGCTTAAAAGAGAGCACCCATGTAGACCATTCCGACACCCGAGTTGAGACCCGTGTACGACGCGTAGTCAGCGTCGATAAACACGAGACCGATGACCAGTGCGAGGAACACAGCGAGGATCATGCGCGTGAGGTTGTAGCTCGGAGTTTGTCAGTACATCTGGATGAATCGGGTCACGACAAACTTCATCTGCGTCGCCGAGTTGTCTGCACGTTTGTCGGCGAAGATCATCTCTGGTAGGTCCGGGGAGGGCGTGGTGATGCCTTCCTTGGCGAGGTTGCTGTTCAGAGCCTCACTCAGCGCACTGGCGTTGAAGTAGTTCACGAAGTCCGTCTGGTTACCCGCCGCGTTGTTTACACCGGCTCCAATACATTCCAGCATCCACGTCGCGGGATTGTAGCCAAGAGGGAGGGAAAACACCCTCGGGATACCCTCGAAGTACTCGATCAAGTTACAGCAATCACGGCTAAAGTCCCCGTAGAACACCGTCACGCCTCCACGCTTCCGCAGCAGCAGACTATCGAACAAAAATAACACTTCGGCTGACGGCTGGTGGATCGTGCAAAGGATGGTACGTCCCGAGTCCGCCACCTTGCGAACCCCGTCCATAATGAGCTTCGCCGAGCGAGCGTCCAGGCACTGGCAGGTTCGTCCAGGAAGATGACACTCGGCTGAGCAGCGAGCTCCACGCCGATAGTCAAGCACTTCATCTGCTCGACTGAGCTGCCGCGGATGATCTGGTCCGCGATGTCCTCCAAACCCAAGAGCTCAATATACTCGTTGACCGAGTCGTACTTCTTGTCGTCCGAGATCGAGGCATCCTGGCGGAGGAACGAGCTGAACGTCAACGCCTCGCGGATCGTAGCAGCCTTCGAGCGCACGTCCATCTGCTCACAGTAGCCCGTGCACCGACGGATGGCGAGGTCGTTCGCTTCGTAGCCGTTCAACAGTATTCTGCCGGTGATCTTCCCGCCAGTCTTACGTCCTGCGATTACGTTCATTAGCGTCGTCTTGCCTGCACCCGACGAGCCCATGAGAGCCGTGATGGACCCGGGCACAGCAAACCCGTTGATCTTCTGTAGCAGCTCGAGAGATTCCTTGGGGTTGTGGGGATCCAGCACGAAGTAGTGAAGGTCTTGTAAAGCCATGGTCACTGGCACGAAGTTCTTCTCCTGAGCGGTCGACTGAAAGCCCACAACGCAGTCCTCCGTCGCCGCTGATATGTTGTTCTTGGGCGTCTCCATCCTCGTGTAGATTTCGTCCTTGATGGGCTTCTCGGACACGTCGAAATTTTCGGGGGTCTCGTAGCGGAGGAATTCAAGTGCAAGACCCGACAAGATCATGAACACCACGTAGATAGCAGCCATGTAAATAATACCGTAAGTGACCCAGGATTTCTCCGTGTCGTAATGCTGGATGCATGTCCTTAGTTTTTTGCTCCGCTCGATTGGTGCCTAGCTCCCTTTTATAGTGCTAGAATATCAAGTTGACAGTTACACGAAGAAAATAAAAAGTTGGTGATGACTCCTGTTTTATAAGTGGCAGTGCACCACTGATAAGTGCGTGTCCAGACCAAACAAGTCCAAGTAGTACCCCAGTGGACCGAGTTCGGTTGGCAAAGTGCTCACAAACATAGTTCAATTAAAAGAGCTCAGGAGTTTCAAATTCGCATGAGATAGTTGTCATTCTCCTACTTTTAGTGGGCGTGTCCTGCAAATAGTGGAACTCCTCTATTTTTGAGTTAGTGAGACTTGTATGTTTTAAAGTGCCAATTAAGATTATTTTTGTGCTGTGTTCTATCTTTTAGTGCTGCATCCCAAAACTTTAGTAGATAGGACGGCCCTCACATCCATCCATCAACAAGGCTACAGTATGTACACAACTTAGGAGCGTAGTTTGACGTGTATGGTCACATGCGATGGATGCCGCCGTGGAGAGTGTAGCGTGTATGGTCGCCCTCCTAACGAAAGCCTACCGTGACAGTTGACAGATGCAAGATACCGGTAGCCGGTATCAGAAACCGTATCTTAACTGTCACCTCGACGAGTTCGTGTACGCTGACATTTAACGGAGTGGGCTCTTGACTTAGCGGGCACTACACAGTTCAGTGTATCCAAGTTTGATCAGAGAGAAGTCAATTGATTTAAGTCAAGTCTTGGCACTGGATACGCAAGCTGAAAGAGTACGAGGTCACCTCGTCAAGGTGTGCCCATGACTGACGTCGTGTTCGAAGCTATCCGACGACTAGCAGCTTGGCGTACTACTTCCCCCTCTCGACCGTGTACGACGGAAGCTTCTTGCTGTACGCTACAGCCATCGCATTGCATCATGCTGTTATCATTTCAAGAAGGACGTAGAAAAGAGACAATGAAAAGACCGATTTGTGCTCACGCTGCGGTACTGTCTTCGCCTCTACATTCCAGCAAGTCTCGAAGCCATACTGCGTCAAATGTGGGTGGGTCGTTGATCGCTGGGAAGTGGGTTTGCTGTCAGGAGACTGACCGTGACGGGCCTGGGTGTCACCCTTCGCCTCTGACATCCCAGCTGCACGTGTCTGGACAGCCATCTTATGGCACACACACACGAACCAAACCTGTAGCTTACACACATCGCAGTCCGTACAACTTCATTCTCATGTAGTGACCATGTTGTTTAGTCTCTAATAGGAGCCCCTAGTTGAGGTGCTAGGCGCTCGAGGAACGCCAACTCGTCCTCAACACTCGCGTCCGGGTGTACATGTTCCCACACGAGCAGAACTCGCAGAGCTCGAGCGATGTTGGTACTAGCCCCGGGACCAAGTTGCGTCTGTACGGTCTTCCCATCCAGTCGCCGACATCGACTCGGCTTGTTCTCGTCTTTGACGTACGACTTGGCCATGTGTAGACACACTTTCAGCATCGCTTCCTGCTCGTCTGCAGTCATTTCAGCTGTGTATTTATTGTCCAAGCTACGTGCAGAAGTCAAGATGCTTAAGGCTGGAGCGATAACGGAGCGATACTGCGTCATCCACATGAATCGCTTCAGACGGTGCTTCACACTGGCACAGTTGACGCTAGCAGTGTCATCAGGTGCCGGTTGCGCCTCGGGGTACGTCGCAATGGCCTCGATTATCAGCGCCACACGCTTCCCAGAAGGCTTGGGCCACTTCACATGGACTTTAAGCATCTCCACGATCTCGATGGTGTCCAGAGCAGCCACGACAGCCTCTCGGTGGTCGAGAAACTCTAGTGAACTTTCGACGATCTCTCGCTCAGTAACGTCGACGAACTCGTCCTGCACGTGGCTTTCAGGGACAATCAGAGGCACTTTAGGCAGGAATAAAGGCGTGAAAATGGCAGCAGTAGACTCGACATTCGACATGTCGCACTTGCGGCTCTGCTGCAGGTAGTTGAGGTAGTGACATGCTCGATTCTGGATCGACTCGGTCCATTCTCGAGGTGGGTACTTGAACCCATTGTCCTCCACCTCGTCATACGCTTCCCCCTCACCCAATCTACCGGCACTGTCGTTGAACACCAGCTCCAACAGATAGAACTTCCTCAACAACCCAAACGCACGCACTGGGTCATTTCCTGAGAGCATCTTACGCACTTCGATGCCGATACGTTCGCGACTCACTTTCCTTCTCATGGCGCCGACGATCTCTCTCTGCTCCAGCACTGCCGTCTCCAGTGCTGGATCTAACGTGAAGCCAAACTCACACGCGAATCGCAACGCTCTTAGCACCCTCAATGGATCGTCTAGAAAAGTCTGCACGGGTTCTCGTGGAGTGCGGATAACTCCGTTCTTGAGGTCATTTACGCCTTTTCCAGTAAAATCTTCCACGTGTCGTGTGTGCAGATTGTAGAACAAGGCGTTGATGGTCAAGTCTCGACGACTGGCATCATCTTCCGGGGTGGCGAACGTAACTTCGGGCACTCGACTGTCTGGAGTGTATTCCTCAGCTCGGAGATGCACCAGATCGACGGTAGACCCCTCGATCGTCACTGTCGCCACCTCGAGATGCTTGGATTTATCCGAATTGGCTTTCACGACGCCTACAGAGCTTGGCGGCAGCTTCCGGTCTCGCTGGAATTTCGTGATATACCGCGCGAACTTGGCGCCCATCAAGTTGTCCAGCGCGATATCAATATCCTCGCTCTCGGCGCCACGTAATTTATCACGCACCCACCCACCGGCTACTCGCAGTTGCGTCTTGGGGGCGTAAAGCTGCTGGATATACTCGAGAAAGGAGAAAAGCGAGTCTTCCGCCGGGGTCAGAGATATCGACAGATCTGACGCGTTTTTGTTGCTTGTACGGGGCGGTGACTTATCACTGAGGGATGTCGAGATAGAGGAGGCAGATGCAACGCTGTACCCAATAGGAAGTCGATGGAAGTGGCGCCGGAGACGCACACGGCGCGTGACAAGTGGCCTCATCCTGCTCCGTGAGCGATGATCTGTGGCGGAGGTGTTGCGAACTTAGTGGGAACCGCAGCGAACTTAGTTGCAGTACCGCAGTAGGCTAAACTAGCTGTACACGTGTTCCCTATAACTGAGTAACTCTGGAATAGTAGATTTGATACCCAATTTGGCATTGCCCTTTTCGTGATCAAGTGGAAATTTTGCTGCGGGCATTGCCCGAATCCCATAAACTCGGCCACAAAATCCTATGATCGGCTTCGGAGCCTCATGGCGCCGGGTTTCTATCCATTTCGACATTACACAGTGTACATGTGCACAACATCATTGTTAGTACACGTACAAAACCTCGCTCTTGCTCAAAGCTCGAGCACTGTCAACGACAGTGCCAAACAGCTAAATGCTCTCGCCATTTGCTCGCTAAATTGTCACGCGACCCAATTTTGTGTGAGTTCCTTCAAGACATATGGACAAACAGGCCACTCCAGATGCCCATTTCGCTGTGAGCACCGAAATTATCAGAACTTGAAGCAACAAGATAAAGTTGGCACAGGTATCTTCGTCGGTTCAGCAGGCTCACCGAATAGGCGGATGCCTTTACTAATAGTATGGGTAAATGATGTCCATGCCCACACCCATACCTTATAAACACCCTGACGTCAAATTATCTGGTTGGATAGCGAAGATGCATCGCTGCACCTGCGGAAAGTGGCCGCAATCCGAAAAAACTTGAAAAACTTGAAGTGACTACAGTACCAGAGTAACATTGCGCCTTGCTCCGCTTCAGTACATGTACTCATTTCGACGTTCTCAATTCGCTTAAAATGGGGTTCAGCTTTCCCATCTGCTTCACCAGAGAATCGCCGGTCATTGGTCAGAAGTCGGACCTAATCGCGCTGACTTGCTGTCTTTTTATTGCTACGCCCAGCCGTATCCACAGGGTATAACATTAAACAGCTTTCAGAAAGGAAGGTTTGCAAAGGATTCCACTGGTCCTTTCTATTTATTTCCACAGTTATCCACCACCCAGTGGGGGTGGCACCCACACGAAAGACGTGCGTAGAGCCGCGACGGGCCGATCAAAAAGGAGATCTCATGGGCGCAGGCAGGGCGCCAGGTGTTACAGTAGAGGTGCCGTCGCCATGCGGCCATCGTCTAGTCCAGCGCAATGGGGCAAGGCTGCGCACAGAGACTTAAGGACGGAAGCCCCAGCATGCCGCTGCGTCGGACCATGCGGGTGCTCTTCCTAGGCTTGGCCTTGACAGTACGGGGCACGGACGCGTCGTCCCTTATCGACGACAGGGGGCTGCAGTTCGTGGACCAGGCGGCCTTCTGCGCCTACCACTGCAGTGCATCGCACGTTGCGCAGGCCTATCGCCACTTGAGCGAGACGTCCGAGTGTCTAGCGAGCAACTGTGGGCGATTTCTATCTGACAACACACAATTCAGAACGCGACGGAGACTGCGTCCGGCCTTCTCGTTCACAGACAGCAGCGCCACCAACCAGTCGGCAGTGGTGGGCGACGTCCACGCAGCGAGCGAAGACGACAAGAACGTGACCATCATCAGCGTCGTGTCCTGCTCCAGCGTCACCGACGTGACGCTTTCGATCGGAGACCCAGAGACCGACGCGTTCGCCAACTTTTACCAGGCGTTCAGCACTGCGTATGACGCCATGCTGTCCGGGGACAACGCGACGTACGATGCGTGTCAGCTGCAGTTCCTACAGAAGGAGCTGCTGGCCAATTACTCGGCCGAACTGGACGACGAACCGGACGAGATGGAGATCAAGCCGACGCTCGTCAAGCTGAACGCGACCAGCGACGAGCTCAAATGTTTGGCCCAAATTAAGAAACTTTGGCCCGCAACAAGCGAAAGCCACACGCCCTTCTTAACCAGAAGCGACCAGGACGATGCGACTGCGACAGTGATGCTGGTGCACGTGAGTGCAAGCGTGGGGGACGACATCCTGGAGCTGGAATGTGTGGAGAGCGTCACGGTGCTACCGGCTATTTTGAAGCTCATGCCGTTCGCCAAGAGCTCGTACGCTTTATCCAGGAGCGCGGGTGAGAAGAAAGAAGGGCCAGCGCTGGAGATTCGACTGGCCAAAGTCGTCAACACTGCGCAGACGCTGAAGAAACTGTCTGCGTATGTGACCAAGGCGACGGGGATTACGAACTTGATTACGATGCAGAGATCGTCGGCGGAGACTGGGGGTGTGTTGCTACAGGCAGCAGTGGACGACTACGACACGTGGACACAAGCGCTGGCTATTGTACTGGACGACGAGGCCGTCGAGTGGGTGGATCTGCAACAGGTTGTCAAGACCGGCGCGCTTCAAGAGCTCAAGACGCCGGCGCTGGAGCAACGATTACTACGCCAGAGCTTCAGCGAGGAGATAACGAGTCGACGACTGGACGACTATGTGCAGGACCTCGTGGGTGTGAAAATTATGCAGGAGCACAACATCACAGGCAGCTCCATTGTTGTGGGCATCACAGACACGGGACTGTACGTCGACCACGACCAGTTCGACCAGGATTCTCGGGATATGTACGACGACGAGGACTTGACGGCGCGTAAAGTGATTTACTACCAGACGTTCGCGAACAATGTGGACGAGGCGGAAGGCGTGACGTGCGGACACGGTACGCATGTGTCTGGGATTCTGGCTGGCAGCTCGTACAGTCGAAAGAATAGCGACTTTGGGATTGCGTCCAGTGCGCGGATCGCGTTTATGGATATCGGGAAACAGGAGTCGACGTGTGCGGGGACGAGTGGCTGTAAGGTGTCGCTGGAGACGCCCGGTGAGGTGGCGAACCTCATGAAGGCGCAGGTGGCTACAGGCGCCAAGATCTTCTCCTTCTCGTGGGGCACAGGCGCCAACGACTACAACACGCAGACGCAGCAGGTGGACGAGTACATTTACGACAATCCGGAGATCCTGATCATTGTGGCGGCAGGAAACAGCGGCGAGAGTGGCGACTACACCATCAGCAGTCCGTCGGGCGCCAAGAACGTCATCTCGGTGGGTGCGAGTCTCAATGCAGCCGCGTCGTTCTCGTCCACGCCCTGCCAGTCGGTTCTTAAGGAGGACACAGTCGCGTCCTTCTCTTCTATCGGCCCGATGCTGGACGGACGGCAGAAACCGGATCTGGTGGCGCCCGGTATGTCCATCACCTCGTCGCAGTCGGAGAAACCAGGCTCTAGTATAAAGTCGTCGGCAGTGTGCTCGCTACAGGGCACGTCTCAGGCCACGCCTGTGGTCGCCGGGATGGCTGTGTTGATCTACGAGTGGCTGCGTGACGGATGGTGGAAGAACGGCGTGGCGGACCCCACGTACGGCATGGACACGATCCCGGCGTCTTTGATCAAGGCGCTTCTGCTGCACAGTGGAGAAGCCATGTCTCGACGGCTCATTGAGCCCAGCACGGGCGTCACGTCTTGCGTGGCGTTGGAAGCCGCGGCCAAGACACTCACGTCGTACCCGGACTTCAACCAGGGCTACGGCAAACCCACGATGCTCAACCTCGTGTCGTTCATGGGCGGTACTAACGGGTCGTCTTCTTCGTCGACTAGTAGCAGTAACACCATCTACTTCTTCCCCAACTCGTCCACTGGATCCGAGCCCAGCGTGACGGAAGGCAGTGAGGTGACGTTCCACTTCATGCTGACAGCCAGTGTGAATCTCCGAGTGACGGTCGTGTGGACGGATCCTCCTGGCTCTGTGGGCAGTAAGGCGACGTTGCAGAACGACCTGGATCTGACGCTTAAAGTGGCCAACACGACCGCTGTCTTCTATCCGCTGTCCGGGAACGGGTCGCGTGACTCGGTCAACAACGTAGAGATGGTCGAAGTTTCCTACGACGACGTGCTGGACGCCGTGACAGAGGCTGGGATGGTTGTGGACGACGGCTTCATCTACGTGCAGGCAGTCGTGAGTGGCCACAGTGTCAAGGCGGGCGAGAACGCGACGACTAGCGGCCAGAAGTTTTCGATCGTGGCGTCGTCCACTCCGTCGTCCACGTCCATGACGTCGGCTGGTGACGGCGACTCAGCCTTCTGGCAGCCCTGGATGACGATCGGTGCTATTGTTGTGTGTACACTCGCTCTACTCTTTGTGATCGCGTTGGTGTGGCGTGTGCGTGTGATGATGAAGGCGGACAACCTCAAGGCGGATCACGCAACGCCCTCGGCTGCTGCTGCACTCACGGGCGCGGCGGGTAGGAGGAATCTCAATCGTCGGGAACGCAACAAGAGAGCGAACGAGGAACGCACAAGCGTCCCCCATATTCACCCGAACTACCGCAACGTGGAGGCAGGAGGCAGTTTACGTCCTGCTCTGGAGGAGCCTTCGGCCATGGGAAGTCGGCGTGCCTTTGATCCGTCCGCTGCCGGCGTACACGAACCCAGTAAACGTGCGTTTGACCCGTCCACGGCTGCTGTACGTGAGCCCAGTCGCCGCGCCGGGGCCCCGTTAGAGCCTCCTCAGCCTACTTCAGCGCGAAAAACGAGCCGTCGTGCTGCGGCCGCCTTAGCGGAGCCTCACCCTCCGAGCAAGCGGCGTGACGGTAGCGACCGTGGACAGGACCGTAAGCAAAACGATGGTAGTGACAGGGGGCGCGTACGTAGTGAGCGAAGACGGCAACGAGAGCGCAGTGATCGCGCTGATGGCAGCGATCGAGGACGCGTACGCAGCGAGCGGAGACGGGAGCGGGAGCGCAGCGATCGTAGTGATCGTCCTGACAGTAATCGTCCGGACAGTGATCGAGGACGCGAACGCAGTGCCAGGAAGCACGAGCCAGCAAAAGCTTATTCGTCGCGACGTAACGAGCCCCCTATCATTCTGTACGAGTGAAGCTCAAGATCATTTGGATAGTGTGAGGTCATTGTAAGAGGAGACGTTGTGCCGTACATACCTCGGCGCGTGCCTAACTCAGTGAATTATGGTAATTTGTCAACGTAAAAAAAAGATTATGATATGATAGTGGGTGGCTATTATTACGGTGAACACAGGACATCCCTCTTTTTGGATTGTTCTGACAGCTTCAAGGGCAGACTTATTTCCTTTTTTCTCGCAGAACTCGACTTTGATTACCACAAAACAGACCGGGGTCAGAATTGACTTTTTTTTCAGACATTTTCTGGTACCATACCTTCTTTGGCGACCATTATCATTTCGAAAATGGTCAGCTATTTCTGAAATGGTCAATGACTTACTAAATTAAGTATAAATCAAAGTGGGCTAATGTATTTATTGCAATAATTGGTCAAAATACCATATTATTGATAAGTCCTGTACATATTGCATTCATACGCTTTCGTAAGGCAGCAATACAAGCTGGAGGTCATGCGTAAGGCAGCGGTCTTACGATTTCTAAGAATGATGAAAAGCATTGCTCAGGTTTCTATTGGCTAATCACTGGGGTGGGCATCAACGGCCTTTGTATGGGACAGCGTAAGAAATCTGCCTTACGTAGAAATCAGTGATATCATTGGCAGAAACGCGCTCGATGAGCTCACACGGAATCGCTCGTGATCAGCGCCAGGAAGTGGACGCACCTGGCCAAGAGAGATTAGATGGGGATGGCGTTCGAGCACGGTGCATTTCTGACGGCACCATAGCCCGATACCGCAGCTATCTAAAAGGAATTCGCCAATGGGTGTTAGCAAACAAAAGCATAACCAACCCTCAAAGCTTCTTCGACGCGTCCGGAAATCTCGACCCGAGGAAGTTCAAGGCCAATGACTTTGAGGCGATCCTCGTCGACAAGCAAGATAAACTGACGACTGGTACCCTCGGAGGGTATAGGAGCGCAATGAAGGATCTGTATCGACGCCTCCAGTTGCCCCTCCCAAGCGAGTACGGCGAGAAAATGACAACGCTTTTTTCTGGTCTAAAGCGCTTAGAGGCTGATCGTGACCAAACCGGTCAAGGACGCGAATCTGGCAAACGGCCTGTAATGGGGTTACATGGTGTCGAACACACAGGGGTACGAAGTACCTGGAGAGTTAACAAACTCTCAGTACATAAGCTGGAGAGTTAACAAGGTCTCTCAGTACGTTGGCTGAAGGCCACACGTTATGCATTTGATTAGGTTTAACTATGCTAGATAGTTAAACATATACATTTAACCCTAGGCGGCTTGGCCGCAATAATAGTAAATAAAACACTTCTGGTTTTGAAGCATAAAAGCTAAGGTATTAACTTTGAGCCCTAGTCTTGGGCTGTAAGCGTCCTTTGGATAAGGAACTTAATATTAGTGACTCTTTGAGTCGAACGTCTTCCTCTGACGCTAAAGCTACGGCAGCCCCGCTGCACTTGGTAGCACTTGTAGTCAATCCCGCTCCCGAGTCGGTTGACTATATCCTCTGCGAGGATGGAACACCCCGTGCTCGCGAATTCGTCCCTGGCGCAGCAGGACGCGCTTACTAAGCTTATGTCCTTGCTTGGCCCGGAGGGCGTGGCTCATCTTGCATCGCAAGGTCCAGAGCCGGTCACCGCAAGGATGGAATCGTTCTCCCGCTACGAGAACGCGCTCTTGGAGCATGTCCAAGAGAAGATGAGCGCCGCAACGGCGGCGGCGTCGATGACGCGTGAAGAGTCTATGAGACTGAAACCGCTCATGGTGAGCGTAAAAACCTTCGAGGGGAAGGATGGAGATAATCTCCTTTATTGGACCCGTGAGGTCGAGATGGCCATGGGATCGGCCCTGCTCCAGTCTGAGCATCAGCGCGTGGCGCTGGCTATCTTCAGGCTTGGAGGTCGTGCTCGCGAATGGGCACTAACGTGCGGCACGTCTGTTGACGCTGCATTTCCCACTTGGGATCAGCTGAAGCAACAGCTTTCGCGTGTGTTCGCGCCGCCCAATCCGGCGTACCGTATCCGGTCAAAGTTCCTTGCTACCCGCCAGGGTAAGAAGGATTTATTGGACTATGTCCAAGAGCTGAGAACTCTTATCGCCGGAATGGCGGCGGACCCTCTTCCGGAACTGGTCAGCGTGACCGTGTTCATGGAGGAACTTCGTGGGAGCGCAGCTCGAACGGAAGTGTTCCCTGTACGCCCTAACTCTTTTGAAGAGGCGGTGGATGTGGCATTGAATGCCGAGCACAACTTCAGGTCGGCGCGACCTGGTTGGAGCGCTGGTAGCGCAAGATCTTCGAGCGGTCCAGAGCCGATGGACCTCAGCTATGCTGAAGATGAAGAAGCGGAGCTTCTTGCTGCGGAGCAGCTCGCCGGCATCCGCCGATGCTTTGTGTGCAGCAGCACTAAGCACTTGAGGGCCTATTGCCCTCTGCGCAAGAAGCGCGAGGCTCCAGCGAGCCAACCCTCCGGGTCATCGCCGGGAAACGGCAACTCCCAGTAGGCGCGGGGCGGCCTACTGGGGAAGAACTGAGTTCTGTTGTGCATCGAAGAGGTAGAGGGCAACGGGGCTCAGCCCCGAAGAGAGCTGATCTCTCTTATGAGAAGAGTGTGTGCAAGCCGGGCTTGCTGGTCGTTCAAGCGAACGTGAAGGGCTTTGCAAAGCCATGGAGGGTCTTGATTGACTCGGGAGCCTCGGGCAACTACGCCCGTCGCTCCACCCTGGAAGGGAGTCAGCTGTATGCGGAGGCACTGGAAGTGCCAACGAGAGATACGATCTCTGTCCGTCTCGCGACGGGGACACTGGTAGCTGTGTCGAAGGTCTCTGTCGACCTTGGAGTGAAGTTTGAGAACTTCGATAGCGTGGAACGCTGTTTGGTCTTAGACCTGGATGCGAGGTATGACCTCATCCTTGGCATGGCATGGCTGAAACGCCATGAGCCATGGATCGACTGGAAGTAGAAAACGCTGGGTGCGTCGCACCCTGCTTCTAGAGGAGCTTTAAGGAGTCATGAGGGAGCCCACCTCCGCTAGGAAGCAGAAGCGCTTTTGGCGCGAGCACGAGGCCGAGGCGGCCGTAGTGCTGGACATTGGTATGTCCGAAATTGTTAGCCACGAGGTTGCTGTTTGCCCTGAGGGCGTACGTGGTGCGGCACGTTATCCGCTGAGCGGTGCAGGTCAGGTCAATGACCAACAGCTGGGTCCTGGTGAGGACGAGCGCGGAGTGGCGCGTAATCCACAGAGTGGTACGAATCTGGTCGATGACCTACCGCTGCGTGACCCGAGGGTCGCGGTCGACTGCGAGTCAAGGCATCATGGGCGTGGCCCAGGCGATGCAGGTGAAGTGACACCAAGTTCACTGTGTGAAGGTCAAGAACCTCTTGGCTTTCAGCCGAGTGTCTTGCGAGACACTGTATCCTCTTCGAGGAGTGATGGTGCTGCTGCACCTGGTGATGGTGACGGAGATGTCGCCACACCGCCCTCATCCGACCGGGCTCGGTCGCGGAGGGAGAGGAGAAGAAGACGCAGGGCGTCTGTGACGTCTTCGACGTCGGACGATGTGTCCAACGTGACGAGCGGTGATGCTCCACGTGATTGCTGTGAACAGCTGTATACACTCGTTAACGGAGTGACGGGGGAGGTAGAAGGCGATATCAGCCTTGACACTCTGCCCGCTGCAGATGCTCTGCTAGAGCTGGACGAGATGTCCATTGCCGAGTTTGGCGAAGCCTTAAAGGCAGGCGAGCTAGCCGAGGTGGTCCTGCTAGGACCTGAGGAGGAGTTGAACTCCTCATCCGTCGTGGACGACGCGGTCCTAGAGGACACCAAGAAGGCGCTGAGCGCAAGAAGTGGATCGGCGATCCTCAAAGATCCTTCGGATCCCTTCTACCCGGTGGTGAAGGAGTATGGAGACGTTGTCTCGAAAGACCCACCGACGGGCCTGCCTCCGGATCGAGGCGTGTGTCACGAGATTGACCTGGCTCCTGGAACCAAATACTGCGTAACACGGCAATGGCCTTTGCCGAGAGAGCAGTGTGACGTCATTGACGCATTCCTCCGTGCGAAGCACGAGGCAGGGATGGTGCGGGAGAGTAAGTCTCCACACTCGACACCCACGTTCTGTGTCAGAAAGCCGAACGGCAAGTGGCGCATTGTCCATGCTTTTAACAAGCTAAATGCGGCCACTATCCAGGCGCAAACGCTGATTCCTCGCAAGGATGTTCTGCAGAACAACATGGTAGGCTGTACGTTGTACAGCGCGCTCGACTTGGTCGATGGCTACTACCAATTGCTCATGAAAGCGAGCAACATTCCGCTGACAGCGGTGAGTACTCCGAGCGGTATGCTCTGGGAGTGGCTGGTGATGCCCCAGGGGCTGTCGAACGCACCAGCAACGTTCAATCGTTTTGTGACGCAGTTGTTTAGGCCCCACCGGGCGTACGCTTAAACGTACTTTCACGATATATTCGTCCATAGTCGTGCTGAGCACGGAAAGTCAGACGTGGAAAACCACATTGGCCACTTGCGAGCGGTGCTCGAGTGCATGCGCACTAATAAGCTGTATGCCAACTTGGACAAGTGCGTCTTTGGCGCGAAGGAAATACCCTTCCTCGAGTGCTTCATTGGGAAGCGAGGCTTAAGAGCAGACCCTGCCAAAGTCAAGGCCATCGTGGACTGGCCGGTTCCCAAGAACCAAAAAGAATTTACGCAAGTGGCTAGGCTTAACCAATTACTTGCACAAGTACAGCGCGAACTACGCGGAAATGGCTCGGCCATTATCAGATCTCCTTAAGAAGGACGCACCATTGTGCTGGAACGTCGAGCACGACGGAGCCTTTGAGGCTGCGAAGGAGAGCCTCCTCCAGGCTCCGATCCTTGCGCTACCGGACCCGGATAGTCCGTTTAGCGTCGTCTGTGACGCCTCCGATTTTGCAATCAGTTGTGCTTTACTACAAGCAGACGCGGAAGGGAGTGAGCGCGTGATTGCGTTTGAG